GACTCCAAGGAATTAGTGGTCATGATGCCATACCTGAAACCCCCCTCGTCATATGCTAACGCCCACTCAGCCTTCTGTTCCATCTACGCCTCTATCCAGGCCTTGCCCGCTTCATTTAGCATCTTGTCTAGTTCTCTCTGTGTCTCCTTGAACTAGTGCTCTGTACGTACACAACATAGAGCCTTTACCTTGTCACATATCTCCTTCTTCCTCTAACGCCGCCAGAAATTAGTAGCAAAGTGTCTCATGCACCATCTGTGCACTAGAGGCGGGAACCCATCTATATGCTCAGCTGCAGCATTATGAAGCCCTAGGTGACAGTCCAAGATCAAACATATAGTGTGAGATGGGCCAAGCAATTGTACACATAGAAGCCACATGAACCATGACCACGATTCATTGTTCTCTCCCTCTACCAAAGCAAAAGCCATGGGTACTATTTGGTCCTCTGGATCAACGGCAGTAGCCATCATCAAGGTGCCCCTATACTTTTCTATCAGAAAAGTGCCATCAACAAGTACAACTGGCCAACAAAACTGGAATGCATGTTCCGTTTGGGCGAACGACCAGAACACACAATGCAGGACATGCCTCAACGGGTCCCAAAAATACATCCCTTCGGTGTCCACAAACCATTTCAAGCCAGGGTTGTAGTAATGCATTGAACATAAGATGTGGGGCACCCTGTTGTACGCTTCCTCCCAACTACCCCAACGAATCACCAAGGCAATTTGCTTAGCACGCCAAGCCTTTTCGTACTTCACATCATACTTAACGAATCTAGATATGGACTGTTGTAACGAAGACACCGAAATGTCGTTATTGTCATCAACGAGCCCCAATATACGACGGACAAGGTAACGTGTAGTGAGCTGCTGCTGATTTTCCTTCCCCCTATTTGTTAGGCAAGTGTGGGGTTCGACCACGTTACTTATCCTCCACTTGCCATCACTTTGTCTCTTTCGTGCATTTAACCTCCACATACAACCATATTTGCATATCACGTGGTACCTCCACTCCTGGTCCGAATGAGTGACGTTGTACAACCTATGGTGATACACAGCATAGTCTTAAAGGAAGAGCTTCATCTCTGACATTGTATTGAATATAATCCCCTTACTAAGGATTTCTTTCTTATAGTCATACAATGATTTCCTACACATCTGGAGACCGGTGTCACAAACTGCCATATCCGTCATGCTGACATCCCTATAGTTTGGAACGCCCCTAAAAGGTACGTTCATCGACCTTAGTTGCTCAAGCTCTGTCGCTGTGTAAGGTGGTGGTGGAAGATACTGCTGCGCTTCGCTAATTCTACCCCATGAATCATAGGGGGTATCATCTGCTGGCAAATCTGTGACTAGTCTACCCTGAGCCGGCATAGCATGCAAAACTTCAATTGGTACTGGTAATGGCATACCATGAACAGGTACTAGCATGGCATCAACCGATGTGGGCATAGCATGTCTACCTCCCTGGTCATCATCTGAATCGTCCAAATCACTGCTAACTACATCACTGATCCTGTCCTCCTCCTGCTCCTCTTCCCATTCGAACTCGTTCACATCGAAGTCATTGCTTATACAACCTACTTGACTTGAATAAAACTGCTCCTGCATCAACTGATCATCCAAATCCATGTTACCCTGAGTTGCTTCCCCTTTGACCCCCAATTCTTGTTCATTGCCTCCAACACCGTCAATGGATGGCCCGTCCTAGACACCCTGCATCCTGTACCCATTCTCCACCACCACCTCAGTCATGGGCACATTGGAACCTTGGAGCACCCTATTGTAGCGGGACCAGTGAGCAAGGTCGCGCAAGGGCATTAGGATATAGTATGTCCTAGTCTTCCCAGTATCAAACCTCCCCTTCAGTGTGAAATCACCGTCAAACTTTGTATTCAAACGGACACAAAGATCGTTGAAGCTAGGAGGTTCATCAAACCATTCTAATTCTTCTTCCATATCCTCAAACATACCATCTTCTCTCCTAACACTTCCTCCGTAAAAAACTCAAACACAACAATCCAGCTACAAAAGCATTTCAAGAAACTTCAATAAGTCGTCGAAATCGTCATACGTACTATCCATAGTAATATTAATACATATACTAACTATAACTATACTAACTATAACTATACTAACTAATCTAATATTAACACCTATACAAGACTAACTACAACAACTAATTATACTAAATATAATAACTAACTAGACTCACTAACTGTACTAACTATACTAACTAAACTAACTAACTTTACTAACTTACTAGTGGCGGGCGTGCGTGGCATGGCGGCCGTGCATGGCGCGACGGCGGGCTGAGGGCGTGGCGGCGTGCGTGGCGCGGCGACGAGCTCAGGGCGCGGCGCCTCTCTCCAACCGGTTCAAATGGGCCGAGTGAGAGAGAGAGAGAAAGGGAAGCGAGGCCGGGCCACAGTCCTGTACAAGGGGCTGCCGCGCCGTGATGCGTGGCGTGGTAGGCCCGCCGTGCCATAATGCGTGGCGTGTCAGACCTACCACGTCAGCGGTCGTCGCAGCCGTTGACTGCCCCCTGCCGCGCCGCCATGCATGGCGCGGCAGAGTGAATTAGCCGCGCCGTGCAAACAGGCGCGTCCAAAAGTGTTAGTTTTGAAGAAAAAAACAGTGTCAGTTTTAAAAATAGTTTAAAAAAAGTGTTAAAAATAAAAAAAAAATTCACAAGCTGCCTGGGAACAATAACATTTGTGTAGCGTCTGAAGTTTTTTTAAAAAAAATCAGCAATGCCTTCTCTTTATTCAGTCATAACATTCTAGAAGACAAACTACACAATTTGCTCTTTATCCCGTCTTACCATTCTAGAAGGCAATCTATGCAGTTTGCTCTGGTTTTCTGTTGCCATACAATCGCAATTTGCTAGCACTTTTGCTGCCTACCTGCACAAATTGCTAAAACTTGTGCAATTTTGCTTCCTATTTAATTACTGCACAATCGTAAGCAATGACACAATTCGCGTAACATAGTACAAGCACAATTTGCAGAACACAATGCTTTCAAGTGCAACAGCCTCCACCTAGTCTAAGATTCGGGCCATGGCTGATGGTTTTTGTGGCTGATAAGACGGCTAATATTGTTTTATTGTGAGAGAAAATCACTGTATCATGGTTGATAAGTTTAAGCAAACAATGGCCTCAATACACTCAGTCCAAGTACGACCTCCTAAAAATGATGCGCCCTGGAACTCGCCGAGGGTGGTTTGGTGACTGTGAATGCATACAGCAGCTTGAACCATGGTGTCAGGGCTGATCCGGTGCAGGCAGCTGGAGCTTGATGTCAAGGCTCAACCGGTAAAGTCTCACACTGACAAAGAGTTGTGGACCTTCTGCTTGTTCGCTTGTTGATTTCAGCCAGAGTTTTATCAGGCAGCCAACAGTGTTTTCTTCTCATAACAAACCAGCACCAGTTAGGCTTATCAGCCCAGAAATTAACCAACGAACAGGCCGCTTGACCATAGTGGTTGGGTATTGTAGCAGGACGCGAGCACCACACACCTGGCGCACAGGGAACCGACCTCTGCGTGGCTAGCGGGCAAGGCGGAGAATGCCCCCAAGGCACCTAGTTGGGTGCGTGGCATCTAGAACGAGGACACCCAGGCTCTGAGGGAGGAAGAAGAGAAGGGAGGCTGACGCATGTGCTCGCTAGAGAAATGGTGGCGGAGGGGAAGGACCGAGTGATGACGGCGGCGGACAGGAGGACCGACGGAGTCGCATAGGGGTGATTGGTTGCACGCATAAGACCATGTAAAGGGCCATCCTGCACCGTTTTCGTGCACCAGGGGCCTTTTGGTTTACCCACCTACATCATTTGCCTCCACTCACCAATTTACTTGAATCCTCCATCCTAGCTTCCCTCCTCCGTAAAATTTGAGCTTCCCTCGCCAGCCGGGATGACTTGATGCGCGCACGATGCGGGTCATGCTCCTAGAACTTTGATGCTGCATGCATCCAAATAACCCATATAGACCTGTTGCAAGAACAACCAAACAAGATCACCTGTATGAGACCGTCCTAGCTAATTTGGGCCTACACTACCCTGCCATCTCAGCTCGGGGCGTGTACCGCAACCAGGGCATGTTTGCTTGGCAAAAAATGTTGCCTGAAAATTCGTTGGAATCTGCGTGGCCAGGCAAATTAGAAGATGCTATGTTTGGTTGGGTGTCTGTGTCTAAAAAGAGATATAATACCATATTTAAAACATACACAGTACTGTTAAATGTACAAGCAATAAATAAATAAAAACCATCCACATATTTTCTTAAATTTAATAGATTCCCTAGCTATTTAAAAAATGTCATAAGGAAAGAACGTACTGCGAGAAAGAAAGATAATTATAACACGATGCTAATTTTAACGGGAACATGATCATGAGGAAGGGAGTTAGAATTGAAAATCTAAAATATACAGAATAGTTTTTACACCGTACAGTACTACTGTTCATGGAAAAAAGAAATAAAGGGTAAAGGCAAACTGAATTACTATGGTAAACATTGTTTTATGGACTTAATTAAGTGACCATTAACAATAAAAATAGTTTAATACTTAATTAGTACTGGCAAATCCAGTTGCCTGGGCCAGGCGACCATTTCCCAACGCCTGGCTGCTAGGGATGAAAACGGTACGGATATTTTCCGACCGTATTCGAGACCGAATCCGTTTAAAGGGGTTCAGATCTATTCGTATCGAGTCCGGATATTTAACATCCGATACCGTATCCGTATCCGAATACTCAAATCGTATATTTATGATGTCGATATCCAATCGTATCCTATCCGATATGGTTGACACTATCCGTATTCGAATCCGAATCCGGACAGAAATATGAAAACAAATATAATATTAATAATATCCGTTCGTATCCGATCCGTTTTCATCCCTACTGGCTGCCGATGCCCCTGCCTGCGTCAGGGAGGCCTCCAAGGACTCTCCCAGGCATATCAGCTCCCTGGTAGGGTTTCGGTTGCAGTCGGCGGAAAGGCAAGGGGTGGCGCGGACGACCCACGCCCGGCGGTCGAGGTGGTGGCTGGGTGCTCAGCGCCGTCGGCGCCGACTTCTCCGGTTTCGGAGGAGGAGGTGCTGGGGGTGGGCCGGCGGAGGACCGGATCTGCAGGTGGTCTGCGCGGGTCTGAAGGGGCGGCAGGGGTGAGCGTCGGGTGCGTTTGTGACTGGTCTGACGCTGCTTGGTGACGTGCTCCGCCCTTGGTTTGCTCGGAGGTGCGGTGGTGGGGTCTTAAGGCGAGGTGGGGGTGGTGTGTAGCAGAGGGCACGGGCTGGTGGAGGAGGTGGAGGCGAGGGTGGTGGACCTGGTGCGGTGGTGGTGTTTCAGCAGGGGACAGAGGTGGTGGTTGGGGGCTGGTAAAGTCAGCAGTTGGTTCTTGGTGGTCCAGGGGTGGTGAAGGTGTTGGAGGCTTCGGAGGAGAGCTGTGTTCCAATGGAGAGAGGGAGGAAGAAGGGGGTGCAGGATTTGGAGAGACTGTTGGGAGGTCTGAAGCTATCTGAGGAGGAGCGGAGGGCCGTCAAGGGTGATCGGCAGACGGCGTTGAGTGAGGCGGGTCGACTTCCTCAGGCGGTAGGCAAGCTTTTCGCCTCAAAGTCAGGGTATGCGAACGGTTTAGTGCAAACATTGGGGAGAATTTGGTGCCCCAGGGAGGGGATTCGGTGCAAGGAGCTTGGCAACAACTTGTTCCTCTTCACCTTTCTGCAGCCGGAAGGGAAGCGTAGAGCGATCACGGAGGGGCCGTGGGAGTTTGGAGGTGACTTACTGATAGTGGTGGATTTTGATGACTCCAAAAGGTTGAAGGACCTGGAGTTTATCTCTGTTCTGTTATGGATCAGGGCTTTTGATCTACCATTGGGTTTGATGAATGAGGAGACGGCGTGGCGGATTGGAAACAAAGTGGGTCGGTTCCTGGAGGTGGATATGGATGAGGATGGTATGGCTGTGGGAGAGTTCCTTCGAATCAAATTGTTGTTGGTCCGTAAACCTCTATTTAGGGGAATTACTTTGGAGGATGAAAAACGGATTCCATTGCACCTTCTGCAAGACCAGAATTAGCTATCGCTGTCTGTCGCTTTGCCACTGCTCATCAGCCATCAGAGCTAATTGGCCGAATCCACGGTGTCAGCGCTTCTGCAATCTCGCTTTGCCACTGTTGCAATGTTCTCATTTTCCACGAATTTACCAACCTCAAGGTTTGGTTGTGCGTTGTGGAACCTGTCTTTTTTTTTAAAGAGCTACTGGCAAGAGCTTTGCCGAGCACGTATTGATAAAGGAGTGCGCTGTGGAATCTGATTTCTCTTTTTTTTTTTTACAAAGGAAAACTTCACATTCCCAACCATTTGCAGTATGGTTTTACCCTTACTCAACTCATATTTTAGGGTCCACTACATTTTTCAGAGCTAACCAAACTTTTGCTTCGGGATATAAATTTGTCGAGGCCCACGATGTCACACAACCGACCAATTTATAAGAGCACAAGTACAAAAACAATCGTCGAAACGATCAAATTCTCGAACTTGTCCATATAAACCCGGTAGTCAACTGAAATCTCGAAGGATTTTAAACCAATTTGCATACAACCAAGATCACAGTAATTCAACATAACATATCGTACGTTACAACATTTCGCAGACGTTCGCAAATAGATTACATCATCACAGAGTCAACGTTATTACAAAACAAGTCTTGTAAAACATGCGGAAGCAAATAGTTTAACTCACACACTCGAGTTCAAATACACATACTGGTTCGCTGATCACAGCCCGCAAAAGCATTCAGATAAGGGAACAGAGATCATGCCCATGATCTAGTCTTCATCACCCGCCGGGTGGAGACAATACTTACAGAATCCCTGATATAGAAGGTCATCTGCAACAAGAGGGAATAAACCCTGAGTACGGGAATGTACTCAGCTAGATTTACCTGCCAGAAACCAAAATAAATGACACCAAGGATTATGCATAGCTTAATGTAGTGAATCTGGCTGACACTTTTTTTTTGCAGAAAAGCATAAGTAATAATGATCAAATCTTAGCCTGGACTAGCAGTGACTTTTTAGCCATTAACCTGTCAACTATATTAGCACCTGTACTAAGCAATCATATTATTAGGGTGCAAACATTAATAACCATATTAGGTATTCATTGTGGCAACCTTATCATCATCATCCATTTAACCATATCGTTAAATTAATTGAATCTACGTTGCCGCTGCTCAGTCAAGTTCTCACTATCCGGGAGAGACGACGATTCAATCGATTCCTATCCAAATTTGGAGGGGTATTCCTAAACACAAACCCGCTTCTCCGTCGAGTCGCAAACAAGTCACATTTGGTACGATTCAGAGTCGCGAGTCCGATCGGATCGACATTCTCGAGAACCACTCGCCAAGGTTGTTCGGGACTCTAACCCGCCTTTGGACTTATGCAAATGGCTCTCCGCACATCCTTACTACCTCCGTAATGCCGCCATTGCTGCGCGTCGGCCCGAGTCGAGCTACTAGGCTTCATGGTCGAACGACTTATCCGCCAGCTAAATGTTAGGCTGCGTTCAACATGACATGAGGACGTACAGCGTATCGGTCTTTAAACGACTCAGATGGAGTCACTATGTTCAAACCTACACAAGACTCCGCCCGGTCTTAATTCATTAATCACATGGTTCTTTTCCACGATAGCAATTATAGCCAACCGTGATCCACCTCATCCTAAAGCTCGCAGGTGACAGGAAATCATCTGACTTCTACCGCACTAAGCATGGCTAAGCATATAACCCGTTCCTGAACTTAAATAGGATTCCAGTGCGATATCTGGACAAGGAAGGATATATAATGCAGCAATTGGTTCCAACCAATTCCTATACTTAATGCATCATCAACAATAAAAGGTACTCAAAGTATTTGTAAAAACATGGGAGGCTTAATATGCTCCGGGGCTTGCCTTTCAGGAACGAGGAAGGCTGGTGGTCAGGGCACTCGGGCAAATCCTCCGCGGCGACTGCTTCGTCGACTTCCTGCACCTCGGGTTCCTCCTCCTGGTTGGCTCCCTCGAACTCCAGCAACGTCACTCCCTCCAGCACACCTATTGCATGAATGCGCAAGATAAATATCATGGATGCACATGAACGAATGTTAGGGATGCTCGGGGAATGCACATGTTCGCTGTAGTTTGCATATTCCAACTTAAGCCCTATTCAAATCACTTTACTTACCAAGTTTATACAACCTAATGTATAATTGCAAATCTTCAGTTAATGACCTAGCACCTGCACCTAAGCATATTCTCAAGTTAGGCTAACCCCTAAACAATCAACGATTACATTGCAACACATTCACTCAAGCATTTGTATTTCAGCAAATGAAGACTATGTAGCGGTACAGTAAACTAGCCATAACTGGAGATTTATAATTCCAAATGACATAAAACAAGACAATCTGGAAAGCTTATGAAATTGTCTACAATTCATTTTGAGACCTCCAAGCATGATTCAAACCTTTACCAGCTCGAATTCATAATTCAACAGAACTCTGTCCTCACAAGGCAGAGAGTAAGCAAAACAGGAACCTAACTTTAAACAGTTGTAGTTTCTAAACTACTGGGCCAAATGCCCTCAAAGTTTGACATGAGCTAGATACATAACTTATCTACAACTTTTGTATTCATCACAAGCACAGAAAACCACATTATCATGGGGAACTTTCCAAAGTCCCCAGATCTGTCCAGAGGGACATGATGCAAACAAATAATTGTTAACTTATGATATAAACGCTTAATTGAACAAAATCAACTTTACTGACATATCACACATATCACAAGAACACCAGAAAGTATGGTGTCCATCACCAAAACATTTCTTTTAATACCTTTCTTAATTTATTTAATTAATTAGGGGAAATAGTAAACATATATGAAAACTACCCCATTAATTCTACAAAAATTACACTAGACACTACATGCTCTAAGTAGACTACCATAAAAATTTCACACCATTTGAGTAATTATAACAACCTACACAAAAATGGTAAGGCAGAATAGCTTAAAATGGCATAATTAGGAAACCTTAGTGAAAAGTGTCAAGCAACAGATTTCATATTTTTCCTTGCATCCTTAAGGTACTAGGACACTCTCCAACAAATTTCATGGTCATTGGATTCATAGATAATTTACAAAAATTCACCCAAGTATCTACCAGTGATAAAAGGAAAATCTATAACTCGAAAACTACACATGCAATGACTCTCAAATTTTAACCAGAGCTTCTACTATACAAGACAAGCTTACCCACAAAATTTCATAATTTTTGGATCACAGAAACTCAAGATATGATTTAAACAAGTTTGCATGCATTCAAAAACACTTTTCAAGTTCCTATTTAATTCATCCAAAATTTCTACATAATGTGCTCAAGACATATTTTTTTAAATACTAGACCTAACTTTGAGTCTAACAAAATTGGAACCATCCAATTTGGATCTACAAAACAGGAGATACAAAAATATCAAATCAGCATTCAAAACTGCATTTTTGAGCTATCCTTTGAAACAAACAAATCATTGTGAGTGGGACCCGTCTGTCACCCGGACCCACCGGTCAGCGAGACGAAATAGAGGAGGCGACGCGACGGCGCATGCAGCACACGGCGAGGCTTTGCCACGGCGCTCTCTCCCTGCGAAATCGAGTGTACCAACGTGCTCCCCTAAGCAACCCGCACCGACTGGTACCAAGAACCTGACCTATTCCTAACCCTAGCCTTGCCGGCGGCGAGAGCAGCGGCGGTGCGCAAGGTACGGCGGCGCTCCGACGACGGCGGCCCGCCATTGTCCCTTTCGAGCTCGATGACGAGCTCCGCAAGACCACGGCGCGAAGCTTCCTAGGCGAACTATGGTTCCGAGTGCGGTCAAGTGCCTCGCCATGTCTTGCGCCGGCCAGTGGCGGCGACGCTCGGGTACGCCCGACGAGGTCACGCGTCCCGCGCGTGAATATAGCGAATCACCGAACTACATCTAGAGGGTAGAAACTATAGCTAACGGGGAAGCTCATGCTTGCGCTAGCTAGAACGGAGACGAGCCGCTGGCATGGCCAAATGACGATGAGCTCGTGTGTGTCGCGCCATGGCGGCCGTGGCGAGAGCGACCGGCTTGTTCCGCAAGATGCATGCACACGGTAGCATCTAACGTTTTCCTACCCAAGCACCAGCAAGCTAGGAGGGTACTAGGATGGTAGAGAGCTCAGCGAGAGAGGGAACAGGGAGATGGGGCCCACGATGGCGTCTGAAGGCGGCGGCGTTACAGCGCCTGCCTCCCGCCGAGCGACGCGCAAAATGTGGCTCACCAAACAGGCAACACGAGCGTGAAGAGGTGGAGATCGAGAGGTGATGGTGGCGGAGCTATGGCCGTGATCAATCGGACAAAGGTGGTGAGGCAAGGAAGCTAGACGGAGGCGGAGCTCGCTTTCGGCAAAGAATGGCGGCGCCGAGCTCTCGGCCATTGCTATGCGATGGAGAAGAAGGAGGAGAAATGGAATGGCAGAGCGCGTGCGGAGGACAGCAGGGCACGCTCCACTTCAAGCCGGCCAGCGCGCGGCGCGGTCAGAACGAGCAAGGCGCGTGGCGGCCACGCGGCGGCAACCTCTTGGCCACGGTCGGCCATGACCGGTCGGTCAGAACGGCCATCAGGCCTGATGAAGCCGACTGACAGCGCCATTTGGAGACGATGGATTTCTGAATCCTTTGATCATTAGCGCAAACTCCCTAAACAAAAGTTGAAGACCTATGTGCCAGCTACAAAACTTATTTAGAGACCAAAGTCTAATTTGCAAAGGATGGAGAGTAAAATCATGCCAAAGTCGAGTTCATGAAACTGCTTTTTCGAGTTAGCACTTAGAAAAAATTTCAATTGTTGAAACAGCTTTCAACCCTGACTTGTGGGCCATTTTTGAACATGTTGTGCACATTTTCATGAGATGGCCATAAAAGAACTTTTGTTCCACATATAATTCTCTACAACTTTGTTTTAGGTTGCTCAGACATGCAAACATCCTAAGCTACACTTTTTAAACA